CTGAGGCACCTCCTGTGGTCCTCGGTGGTGTTCTACCAGACCCCAGGGCTGGAGGTGACTGCCTGTGTGCTGCTGTCCACCAAGGCTGTGTACTTCGTGCTGCACGATGGCCTCCGCCGCTACTTCTCAGAGCCACTGCAGGGTAGGCAACAGGCTTGCTGTCACGCAGGGGCTTGTGGCACGCATGCGAATCCGCTGCTTTGGCCTGAGTAGCATCTGAGAAAGAGGGTGACAGCACTTCCTTCCTGGAGCTGTCATGAGGACTGAGGCCAAATGTGTATGCACTGCCAGGCCCAGTGAGTGCTTGGGAACTGGGCAGTGCCTGCCCCTTGGGCCCTCTGTGGGAGTGTGAGCCGATGGCGTGGTGACTGCTGAGCCAAGCAAGGCTCAGACCTCAGACCAAGTCACATATGAAGCTTTGCATCTGTACAAGTGATGGCAGTAGGCAACCTATTCCTGCTAGACACATACATAACTGGGATCCTTGTTCTCACCTGCCATAGCCACTATCCCCCCTCAGTCCCTTTCTCTCCATTACAGATTTCTGGCATCAGAAAAACACTGACTACAACAATAGCCCCTTCCATATCTCTCAGTGCTTTGTGCTCAAACTCAGTGACCTGCAGTCAGTCAATGTTGGCCTTTTTGACCAGCATTTCCGGCTGACGGGTGAGTGACCCTCTGTGCTTTGTGTGATTCTGGGTGAAGGCCAGTGGGTTTCCACCTTCCATGTGTGGGTACCTTTATCGTGGACAGAGTTATCTCGCTGCTTACAGGCCAGTCAGCTGAGTGGGAGGAAGCAGCTTCAGGAACTGCTGAGATTGCAGGACTCACACCCTGGGGCTCTAGGCAGGGTGGGGCATGCAGCTAGCCCCAAACCAGAGGCAAAGTGGGCCCTGGGCTCAGGCAGGATGTCTCTGACTCACGCTTCCTGAAAAGAGAAAACTGAGCTCTTTCCCTAATGCCTGTGGATCCCCTTCCAGAAAAATGTCTCAGCCTTTCCTGTTTGAAAAACGGTGGCCTCTCTAGAACCCATGATGCTGTCCCATATGGGTCCTCCTGCCTCTGGGCTTCTGGGGCAGAGACCTGGACAGAAATGGTGGTCTGTGACAGTGACCGCCCCTTTTCTCACAGGCTCCTCCCCAGCGCAGGTGGTCACATGCCTGACTCGGGACAGCTACCTGACGCATTGCTTCCTTCAGCACCTCATGCTTGTGCTTTCCTCCCTGGAGCGCACCCCCTCACCGGAGCCTGTTGACAGGGACTTCTACTCGGAGTTTGGGAACAAGACCACAGGTACACTGTCCCATGCCTTTTTCTCTTGCCACACTGAGCTGTCCGAGACATGATATGGGGCCTTTCCATGGCAATTTCCAGCCTACCCCCCCTCCAGCCATGCCGGCATCTCAAGTGTCAGCCCTAGGCTGCTGGCCTGGGCCCTCATTTGATTGGCAGCATTGGTGCCCCCAGGCCCACCACAGGCCAGGCCTGGCTATAGCCCTGGTGGTGTCTTTCTCTGCAGGGAAGATGGAGAACTATGAGCTGATCCATTCAAGTCGTGTCAAGTTCACCTACCCCAGCGAGGAGGAGGTTGGGGACCTAACCTACATTGTGTCCCAGAAGACAGCTGGTTCAGAGAAGGCCCCAGCTCCCAGCATCCTGCTGTATGTGCAGGCCTTCCAGGTGGGCCCACCGCCTCCTGGGCGCTGCCGGAGCCCCCTGCGCCCCAAGACACTGCTGCTCACTAGTTCAGAGATCTTTCTCTTGGATGAGGACTATATTCACTACCCACTGCCTGAGTTTGCCAAAGAGCCACCACAGAGGGACAGGTACCGGCTTGATGATGGCCGCCGTGTCCGAGACTTGGACCGCATTCTCATGGGCTACCAGCCCTACCCACAGGCCCTCACTCTTGTCTTTGATGACATGCAGGGCCATGATCTCATGGGCTGCGTCACCCTGGATCATTTTGGAGAGGTACCTAATGGTTCTGCCAGGGCTGGCCAGGGTCATGAGATCCAGTGGCAGGTGTTTGTCCCCAGCGCTGAGAGCCGAGAGAAGCTCATTTCACTGTTGGCCCGCCAGTGGGAGGCTCTGTGTGGCCGTGAGCTGCCCGTGGAGCTTACCGGCTAGCTGAGCTGCCATAGCTCCCCCAGAGCCTGCTCAGAGCAGGGAAGCAGGCTTTCTTTGTTCTCTCCCAAGTGTTTTGTCCCCTCCTTCTGGTACCTTCACTTGACAGTCCCTGCTAAGAATGTGAACGTGTATTCTTTCCACTGCTGGAAGTGAGCATGCCAGGCGCCCTCCAGGGTCTGTGGACTGTCAGCCTCCTGTGTGCTGCCCGCCCTGGAGTGACATGGCCCCTGCACCAGCATCATGTCTGTTACATGTGCTGTTAACCCTTGTGGCTGTGGATCTGACTAACTCCCCTGTCTTCTTGTTGCTGTCCTCGTGGGCATTTTGCTGCTAATCACAAAGCTGGTAGCAGAGTACATGTTTGGAGAGCCTGTCCCATGCTGCCTTTCAAAGTGGAGGTCTTGAGCCAGGTGTAGTGGTGCACGCCTGTAATCCTAGCACTTGGGAGGCTGAGGCAGGAGGATCACCCAGAGTTTGAGGCCAGCCTAAGGAACATAGTGAGTTCAAGACTGGCTTAGACTATATAGTGAGACCTTGTCTCAAAAACAGAAAGTGAAGACCTCCTGTGGTCCAAACGAGAGGGCTCTTGATGGGCCAGAGTGCCCTGGCCTTGGGCTTGTGGTGGGGTACCGTGGAGGGACCTAGAGCTACTGGCACCAAGAGTGATTCCTGTTGCCTATTTTCTCTATTCCAATAAAGTAGTTTGACGCGGTCTGGGTCATCTAAGTCAAGGGTCACCTGGGTCCCAGCAGGGCCTCAGGCAGGGCAGGACATGGTCCGCGTCAGGCAGGGCAGGGTGCACTGTGGACTCTGGAGGGCGAAGAGTTGGGGCAGGAGGGAAAGAGCCAGAAGCTTGTTGGGCCCAGGGGTGCAGTGGGCCATGCTGAGCTGTGGCTAAACCAGGAGTGTCCACAGGACCCCTCAAGGGCCCCGACACCAGCTCCTTCGCTTGTCCTGCGCCTGGCCCAAACCTCAGCAGCCAAAGCCCGTTGTGAAGGTGAGCAGTGAGCGCTGTCCTCTCTCCACGTATTCTGGGGCAGGGCAGGGCAGGGCAGGGCAGCGCAGCGCAGGGTTGAGTCCCGCTCACACCTCAGCTGGCCTGCTCTGGAACCTCTGCTCTTGGCTGAGCTACATTGGACAAGCCACCTAGACCCTCTGAGTTTTGGCTTCCCTACCAGAAAAATGGATAATGAAGTAATTACATCGTCTGCGTAGTCATTCCACACATCCGTGCTGCGCATTTTATCACCCAGAAGCCATCCTGAGCTCACCCCACAGCAGACATTCCAGGGTGAAGGAGACGAACAGCACAGGCTGGGGAACTAGCTTGGCGGTCTAAGCATCTGCCTGGCAAGCACAAGGACCAGGTTCAGTCCCTAGCACCACATGCTGTGTACCAAATAAAGATTTTTTTTTATTTTTTATTTTTATTT